TTCTCTTACCTCAGCCTCCCGAGTAGCTGGGACTACAGGCGCCTACCACAATGCCTGGCAATTTTTTTGTTGCAGTTTGGTCAGAGCCAGGTTTTAACCTGCCACTCTTGGTATATGGGGCCAGTCTCCTACCCACTAAGCCACAGGTGCTGCCCAGGCTTAAGCGATTCTCTTGCCTCAGCCTCCCAAGTAGCTACAGGTGCTCACAACACCCAGCTATTTTTTGGTTGCAGTTCTCATTGTTTAGCAGGCTGGGGCTGGGCTCAAACCCACCATCCTTGGTGTATATGGCCGGTGCCCTACTCACTGAGCTACAGGCACCAGACCTCCTTTGATATTTCAAAGCTAGTTCCTCAGCTGTTTTTTTTTTTTTGAGACAGAGCCTCAAGCTATCGCCCTGGGTAGAGTGCTGTGGCATCACAGCTCACAGCAACCTCCAATTCCTGTGCTTAAGCGATTCTCTTGCCTCAGCCTCCCAAGTAGCTGGGACTACAGGTGTCCCACACAACACAGCTATTTTTAGGTTGTAGTTGTCATTGTTGTTTGGCAGGCCCAGGCTGAATTCGAACCCCACCAGCTCTGGTATACGTGGCTGGCGCCTACAGGCGCTGAGCCAGTTCCTCAGCTTCTTAAAATTTATTTTCTGTTATAACATTATCATTTTTAAGAACACAGGCCACCTATTTTGTAGAATATCCCTAAATTAGATTTTTATGATTGTTTCCAAATGATAAAATTCTGATTATATACTTTCAGCTATTGTCATTTACTTGTTTATTGTCTCCCCCTTACCATCCTAGTTCATGCTCCAGCTCCATGAGAGTAGGAAACTCATTTTTCTGTCCACCACTACAATCATATTTTTGGACTCTTGAAAGACACATTATTATAGCTTTAATCACTATATGAAGAAAACTAAAATAATCCTCCCTTCTTTCTATCAAACTTTGCAAAGATTTTTTTTTTTTTTGGAGACAGAGTCTTACTATGTCACCCTCGGTAGAGTACCATGGCATCACTGCTCACAGCAACCTCAAACTTGGGCTTAAGCGATTCTTTTGCCTCAGCCTCCCGGATAGGCAGATTACAGCCACCTGCCAGAACACCCAGCTATTTTGTTGTTGTTCTTGCAGTTGTCATTGTTGTTTAGCAGGCCCAGGCCGGGTTCGAACCTATCAGCCTCCATGTAATTGGCCAGTGCCCTAACCAATGACCTATGGACACTAAGCCTTTTTTTTTTTTTTTTTTTT